TAAGTTTTGTTCTGTATTCTGTGTTCGTGTGTGCACATATTCACACAACAATAAAGAATTACACCTGTAAACTAATGTCTCATAATTAATATCTAAGATACTATCAAACCAGATAAAAAATAGCTACTAATTTAAAAATAAAAGAAGAAATTATTGGAGCATGTGTATGTTTATTACAGATATATATTTAAATAAAAACAAATAGTTATAAATCTAACCTTCTATGAATAATACTTTAATATTAAAGATAACATCAAGCCAGATAAAAAGCAAACTATTAACTAAATAAAAATAAAATAATGGATAAGTGCAGAGATATAAACAAATATTTACTTACCATTTAAGTATAAAAAAACAAAACAAAAAAAAACACTTATATTTTCCAAACTTACGAAAATCCCACAGCATTTGAGAAAAAAAAAAACCCTATGAAATTGCTATTGTCTTTGACACTCAGAACTAAAAGGTACAGGAAAATTATGAAAAGGAGAAATAACTACAACACAGCACACACAAAGAAAAAAATCAACACCAATAAAAAGTGCATAAATTATTTTTTAACTTGATACAAAAAGCATGAAAATGAGAAAATTGGCAGTCAATTGCTAATACCACCTGATAAATGGGCTAAACAATTAAAACTATAGGGCTGAAGTTCTGACTATAATATCAATCAGCTAAATGACAAGTTTTAATCATGCACATAACACGTTTTAGAGTAGATTGTAATAGAACCCCCCCTGATTTTACACACACACACACATACTTGCATGCATAACTACACTATGTACACACCTTGGAAGAGGTGCGGTTCCACACGGTCACCTCATGTCCGGAGCGGATCAAATTCATGACCATGCCCTGCCCCATGATACCCAATCCAAGGAAGCCAATCTTCAGGTGTGTTGGTGAGGCCCCTGCATTGGGTGTGGCCATAGAACGCAGCAAAGTTTCTTCAATCTGTGTAGCCGATGACACTGACTTGACGGTGGGTGAAGGAGTGTCCTGGTCCAAAAATAAAAGCACATTTACAATTAGGTTTGTGTGTGTTAACACAAAACTGACTTAAAAAGCAAGGAACATGCTGAGGGTCATTCTCTTGCTCAATGAAATCTTTCACAGAATGAAATGATTTACAAAAAATTTTTCCTACACACACACACACACACACACACATTTGTGGTACAGAATTTTATGACTGCCATGAAAAGAATTTATTTTCATTACCACTCATGATGATAATAATTAAAAAGCAAAACTGAAAAATGGGCTAGTTAACTGGTTTTGAACCTCGCTCAACAGCTAAATCGAGGTTAATAAATTAAATAGAATTATCACTAAAAAGAGATGGACAATATGTATGGGAGGGGGGAATATTGCTTAGATGGAAATTAGATGGAGGCCCAGTATGAAGTCCTTCTGTTTAAAGAGAGAGGATGATGAATTTATTACCACTACTCTCTGTAGCAATGCCTATCCGTTGGGCATTGTTCAATCAATAATTAATAAAATTGCTGAATTCAAAATGGTATTGTTTTGACCACCCGAAAATGCAAATATGATTTTTTTTAAGACTAAATTTTACGTGTTATTTTGTTTTGTAAAAAAATCAATGTGACCAATCTTTATCAATATTCTTGAAATTGTACACTCAATTAGAAGACAACCAGGAAGATATTCATTTCTTCTCTGACTTGAGGAAGCAAATTCCTTCCACAATTATAAAAAAAATAAAAATACAGCAATTCTTTTCTGCTACACCAGTCAACTGTTATTGGGGTTTTGCAAATAAATTTCTTCTAAACAAAAGAAAATCAATGAGTTATTTTTCCCCTAAATACATTTATGTTTTTATCTAGTGAATACATCTAAAATTAAATATAAAAATTAATTAAAACCTTTTAATTTCATTTTTAAAATGTGCATATTTTCAAATCTGTGAGTATCAACTGTTCTTTTTTAGATACACATTTTAAAACTGAAATAAAAAAACTATTTTAATCATTTTAATCTAATCTTAAGTGTATTATTTGCCAGATAAAACCATAAAGTAAAAGTAGTTATAAAAATAAAATGAATTAATTTCCTTGTTTAGAAGAATTTTATAGTCAGAACAGTAACAAACGCCCATCAAACACTAGTGGCTAAAAAAGAATAATTTTTATTTTGGGTTTAAAAAAATGACTTCAGTTTTGAAAATATACACATTTTAAAACTGAGATTTTAAAAAAAATTTTTAATATCTAATTTTACATGTTTTCGCTAGATAGAAACATAATTTTATTTGTAGAAAACAAAGACTTGCATATCTGGAAATATACACATCTTAAAAGTGAAATTAAGAATTATTTTAATTATTCTTAATATCTAATTTAGGTGCATTCCCAAATTTATATATACAAAAAAAAACACCTTCATTTTCTTGTTTACAAATTTATATCGTGATTGGCAAACACTAGAAGACAATTACCCTTACTACAAAAATCCCACTTCATAAATTTTAACATTAAAACAATTTTTTTTTTTTTAAACTCGATATTTTGTTAACTTAATTTTACCACAAAAAGTATTTTTTTTTGAAAACTGAAACAAATTTCAGACATCATGTCGTATTTCCTTTTTTTCTTCATTTCTTTTGTAAACAAGTAGATTTCACATTTATTTTCTAAAACTAGTCAATTAAATGTTTTTTAACATTTTTGTTCAATCTTTTTCTCTTACAATGGTATATATGTTGATAAAATTTAATTTTATTAACATCTGAAAGTCTTTTTCAATAGTGTTCTCTTGGATATGGTCACCCAGTAGTGATATAAAAATGAAACTGTTCGGTTTCATAAAAAGTTTCAATATGGTTCCACGGTGTGAAGATGAAAGCGAAAAGTCATTTCGGTTAAACGACACATCTCTAATATATATTATAAATTAATTGATTTAAAATATGCTTTTTCCGCTACACAGTTCTAACCATGTTTCAAAAATGGAAGGTCTGAATTTAATTTTGTAATTAAATTAAAGACATTAGTTCCATTTTATCCTCAAGTGAATTTTGGAGTAACTTTTAAAATTACTGGGTTTTAAAGACACAGCTAAAATCATAATTCATGTTTCCATGGTTACAGATAAATTCACTTCCACTAGACAGGGGTGTTTGTGTGTTCATTATGTCTGTATTTTGATGTATCCGTTATAAGTCACGTTTTGGTAGGGGTTAGGGATGTATTCTTCAATGAAATCTCACATCCGTTAAATGCATGTCGTCTGGATTTTTTAAAATTTTATTGTTAATGGCAAAAATTCTTACGGCATTTTTTCTATTTGTATATTTAAAGAATAAATATACATTATATATATATATATATATATATATATATATATATATATATATATGTATGTATATAGTACATGCATACATATAATATAATAATAGCTGGCCACTTGCATTTGAGGATACCCATCTACTAGGGTGGCTAGCCAATCCCTAGTTCAGATCAATGCTCAGGCAAATTTGTGTTTAACACACAGAGAGCCCACCTGTGGTTCATACTACAAGTATGCTGAGCAGACCTTACCAAAGGTAAAAGGCAGTTTTCTTATTGTCTTTACTTTATTTATATGTGTGTGTGTATATATATATATATATATATATATATATATATACATACATACACACACACGACCGGTTTCACACTCACTCAAGGGAATAAATGTTATAATCTAAAATATAAAATACATGTAATGCATTAAAGGTGGAATAATTAAATTGAAATAACATCAAGGACTAAAAAACATTCCCTTTATTTTCAGAGGGAAGGCTGTCTGGATCTGGCATAGATTGTTTCTAATGCCTTCAAGTGTAAAGAAGAAAGCAATGATTTTAACATTGAGCTAAAATTGGTGGCACAATTTTGATTTCTAAAATTTTCAGTAATGGCAGAACAATGTTTTGTTGACCACATCACCATATATATATATATACACACACACACACATATCCATCCATATACTGATATAAACTCAATATCACTTACCTGATCATTTAGTCCCATGCCTATGATTTCGGACGGCTCTCTCAGGGTCTTTGGCTGCTTCTTGTTGAACTTCATTGGGTGCGGTGTGCCAACCCATTTCTTAGCAGACACTGCATTCTTGCCTCCGAAAGTATCTGCTTTAGATGGTGTCCCCACCCTGACAACCAACTTTGATTTCTTTGTCTTGGGAGAAACGCCTGAACTTGATGACCGTTTTGTGCCTGACTTCATCAGGGTGATCCCCTGGTTCTGTTAAAAAGTCAATAATTGAACTACATACACAAAAATATAGTTTTAAGCTATGGATAAAATATCTATTTTGTGCTTGTACAACTATTTTTTTATATGAACATGAATAGTATAACAACTCTTGAAAAGTTCTGCATATACAAGTGATTGCGGCTATTCTTTTAGCCATTATCAAGGACAATTTTAACTGAAATTGTTTTTGTATGTATCTAGAGTTAGAGGAATGTTTTCCTTTCCAAAATGCGGAAGAAGCTGTTGTACTTCTATTTTCTACTAGTATGGGCATGCAAAACATCGTCACAACTTAGATACATTTCAAGTGATGATATGGACAGGGGAGGATGAAATATTGCAAATGACAATACATACACAATCAAATTATAATATACAAATATGTAGACATATTTAGATATATAAACATGCAAAAACACTGATGACACAGGAAATAGATGTCCACAACAACAGAAAAAAAATTAGACAACATATACAAATGAAAGGCATATATAAGCAATCATACACTAATAAAGACAGACATATACACACCCACAAAGATTCAAGTTTGAAAGTGTTAGTGAACGAATGCAAACAGGCCATTAAAATATTACATAGGCAAAGATATATAAACATATGCATACACACACACACCTAAAATTACACACACATGTACAAAGAAATAACATAATAAACATATACGTATATATATATATATATATATATATATATATATATATATGCACATAAATAGGTGGATTAGCAGATAATATAAGTAAATACTAAACATACAGTAACATTGTATTATCGTCAAAAATATTACTACCCCTATAGTAAATTAAATTTTAAGTTATGTTTACAGTTAACAGTGACGTTATTCCTTTGATTTAAGATCTTGTCTTTAAATCTGATTTCAAATTTTTCATTAAGATATAAATAACAAGGGGCATATAGAGAATTATATGCCCGAGCTCTCTTAATTTCCATTTAACAATGAGTGTCTTGTTTTTCTCCTTTAAGCTCCAAACACACTTGGACAATGAAGTCTTGTATTTATGATTACTATTGTTGAAAGATTGAACATGTCCATGTCAATGCCCTTTGAATGCATCCATAGTAATTCTAATGTAAATTTTTTAATATTAGGGTTTTTTCTAGATAAACTAGAGAACTAGTTAAACAATTATTCTGTAATGGGCAATTATTAGGATTCCTACAATTGCACATGTTATTATTAGTGTCATTATACTTAGTTGTACTCATTGCAACCTGGCGAGTAGTCAAGATTTTTGAGTCCCTATACTTGTTGAAGACTTATATTTCTTAATTATTTTTTTCAGGTTATCAGCATAACTGTAGCTTAATTTAAGGGTATTATAATTGAATATTTTACTGAGTGGATTAGTTTCAGGGAATAAGGTTTAGAAATTTATGTCCTAGTTTGGCTTTAACCATTAGGTTGAAAGGGGGAGTAAATTAAATGATCTTCCTGGATCTTTTATTATGATCATAATTAATAGGATTTTTATATTCAATAGTGGTACCCTTGTAACCACTATTTCTAAGGGCAGAATTATAAAATTCACTATGTTTATTAAAAACCTCTTTGCTAGAAGAGTTAGTACTTATCCTAAATTCAATGGAGGAGGGTATGTACTTAATAACAGAAGGGTGGGCGGTGGTTGGAATTAGGATGTATATATATAGCAGGTTAGAATTAACCTTCATATAAGTTTGAAAAGAGCTATTATTAAGGTCTAGGTTCCACTGTTCTTCATTGTAAGCCAGAACAGAATTTTGGAATTTCAAGATTATATCCATTTCATTGTCAGAAATATTAGAGTATTCCTGACCGAACTCTAGGGCCAAAGTGAACAGATCTTTAGATATAGTAGTCAATAATGTTGAACTATATGAAAGTTCAGTTGTCCTTATTTTGGATACCAGTAAACCAGTTGATAAGATCTGCAATATTCATCCACTGTAAGAGCCCAAGGGTGGTTTTAATGGATTGGTTGGTTTTCTTCAAAATGGTTTTGCTGATTCTACCAATCTCCAGTCTGGTAGGATTAAGACATGTTGATGGCTTGGTTCTGAAATCAGATTTATGATCCTTTAATAAAATATACACTTTGTTAGCTTGTGATATGCTGACATGATCATTTATATGTAGTTGATCAGTAATGGATTTACTGACACAGTTAATTCTATCAGGCTAAAAGTAGTTGTGTCAATTTTTTTTTAACTAAAGTGTCATAATCCTTAGGGGATAACTTATAAAAGCTAGCCGTTTTATTGAATTTGTCAAGTTTTTTGAATGGTCATTGTAGCTTGTGTATCAAGGGGTGTAGGGTTGATTAAAACTCTTTACTCTACATTAAACACCATCACTTGATAAGACAACAGAAGAAACAAAATAAGTGATTTTATAACATGTTTATGTTATAATTTTTGAATAAATTATACATATACATTTCTCTTAGGCTGTCTGTCATTGCTGATGATGATACTGTCCACCCATCTCCATCTGTCTTCTGTGGACTGCCAAGTGAGACAGCAGCCCAATCCGCATACGACAAGCTCTCAGGCACAGGTGGCAGGGAAACATACCTGGTGCGGAATTGGCAGGCCGTAGATGATGCTGGTGTTGCCTTCCCTTAAGTGCTCCTCCTCAAAGTGCACCACTCTGGTGGTGCAGGGAGACCACCAGCCAACCCTACCCCCAGCAAGGTTCTCCAATTGTGTTGGTTCAATATTGCAGGAGACAAGAACATGCTTATGGTAGTCCTGAAACTGTTTCTTTGGGCCCCTACATCGACAGCTGCCAGTCTTGAGCTCGCTGTAGAATACAATTTTTGGTAGGTCACTGCTGTATGATGGCCTCGATGCTGACGACCTCTGCATGTTGAAGAACCTCAGTGTATGTGTGTGTGTGGGGATTTATCTTTCCAAGTAATGTGCAGGATTTGCCGAAGGCAGTGGATGAGGAATGTCTCAAGCAGTTTTATTAGTTGGCGATACAGAGTCCAGCATTCACAGCCACTGAGCAGTGTTGAAACAACTACAGCTTGACAGACAGCAACTTTGGTGGTGAGTCAGGGGTTACTATTAGAGAAAACCTGGAAGTGGAGATGTCCAAAGGAAGCAGAGGTGAAATTTATCCACCGGAGAATGTCTTCATCAATGTGTCCATTATTGGATATGACGCTGCAGAGGTAGACGAATGAGTTAATATTAGACAATGAAACGTTGTCAATGTGCAGCCAAGCTGCTGGATCACGTTGTTTATGTCGAAACAGTTCAGCTCAGTGAGTCGGAAGTTTGTCTAAAGCTGAAGAATCAATCGACATGTCTCTGTTCAAAAGTTCCTTGAAGTCCTCAGCCCATCATTTCTTCTTTTTCCTTGATCAGAGTAGAGCCATCAGAGGAATGAACAGGTGCTATGGCATTGCGAGAAGGACCAAAGATACGATTAATGGAATCATAAAACTTGTAAGTTTTGTTTTCGTCAGCAAAACGTTGAATTTCTTCAGATTTGCGGAGCCACCAGTTGTTTTGAGTTTTCCGAAGCTTCTATTGTGCCTATGCTCATAAGCGGCATCAGTTTTGGGCATGAGTACGAGTGGCTTGCTAAATAGCTAGGATGGCAGAGTCCCATAGACTGTCAATTTCCTGCTGATCATTTACATTGGTTGGTGTTGGCAGTGACTGACATTGAGTAAATTCACTTGAAGTTTGACACATTTTAATGCTTGATGAAGGCAGGCAACATTGAGTGTAAGGGTGGCTTTGGTTTTTTGGGCTGAACTGAAGCGAGATTCATATGAGAGCAAATCATATGATGATCAGTCCAGCATAGCACAAGTTTGAAGGACATCATTTGATTGCACTGACAGACTATTATGTAATCCAACAGGTGTCACATCTGAGAGCATGGATATATCCAAGAACACTTGTACTTGAAAAATAGTATTGGTAATCACAAGCTGACATGCTGGTTGAAGGGGAGTGCCAAACTATATGGTGTCAGCATGGGAAACCCATTAGGTCCTATTTTCTCTGTCTCATTGAAAAAGTGTTTGAAAAACATTTTTGTCTTCATAAAAAATAAAGACAAAATTATAAATCTTAAATCATTTTTTGAAAAAAGGCTAAAATTTACATGAATTCCTGGCTAATAACAAAATTTATTTCTTGCTGTTGATATAGAACTAAAATCTAACGTATTTACCACCTACCCACATAAAAAAAAAACAACACATCAAAATGAACTCTCAGGAAGCTTACACTACAAAAATAGGTCAAAGTAGTGAAATTTCCTTCAAGTTCAACAGGTAATATATTGAGTAATTTTAAAGTTATTTTCATAAAATTACTATCTAAAGAAAATTTAATGTTTTCTCTTTATAAAAGAGAAAACTCTTTTTCTTGTGATAATTTTTATTTTAGGTCTTTTTAAATGAATCAGGTTTCAGTGACAGACACTTCTTTTTCTGCATTTTAGAATCAGAATTTTATACTTATGATTTGAAGTTTGTTTTGCTCAGCGTTGTGTGTTCCTACACATATCAAAATATGATGGGCTTAAAATAAAATGATTTTTTTATTTTTCACAAAAAAATTTCCAAGTTGAAAACTTGGATGGATCAAATACCAGAGAAATTCAGTTCTTAAAAACAAATTACACCTAGAACAAGGTTTTGTCTTTAATAATTAGTTGGTTTCCAACCAACTCAAAGCACAAACAAATAAAAAAGTGTTTTTTGAAATTTAAATTTTTCAGTTGGACTTCTATAAAGGGTCCACCAAAAGTTAATTTCTAAAATGAAACTTTTTTTTTAAAATGGATATTTCTCGGAAGATTTTTTTTTTTAACTTTT